CGAGGCACGCCAGCAGCAGCGCGGCCGCGGCCGCGGCTCGGCAGCCGCACCGCTGCGCCGCGCCGCCGGGCGGAGGCCCCGCGCCGTCCCCGAGCAGCGCCAGCTCGCCCCGCTCGCTGCGGTCGTCGGCGGATGCCTCGGGCGGGGGGGGGGGGCAGAGGAAGGAGGAGGAGGAGGAGGACGGAGGGAGGAGGAGGAGGAGGAGGAGGAGGAGCAGGAGGAGGAGGAGGAGGAGGAGGAGGAGGAGGAGGCGGAGGAGGAGGAGGAGGAAGGGGTACCGATGCCGAGGCCCCTTCCCTCGGGTTCGCCTCTCTTTGGGCCTCCTGGGAGGCCCTCGTCGCTAGGGCCGAATTCGCATCAATCCTGGTTGGGAACGCGCCCCCGAGAGCAGTGGTGTCGGGAGGGTGCGGCGGTACGCCCAGACCTCGGGCGGATTGGTCATTGGAATCTCGACGTGTTTCCCTCCATCTCGGCCATTGGGGGCCGTCTCCTGGCCCGGGGCTGCGAGAGAGCGGTCTGGGATGTGGGCCACAACCAGCCAAGTGGAGGATGTCGAGGGTTGGCTGCCCGGCGGATGCCTCGGAGGGCGGAGCGGCAGGGGAGAAGAGCCTGCTGGTCTTCCTGGTCTCCCTCTGGCAGAAGTGCTCGTCTGGTGGCCCAGATTGTTCTCAGTGGCCCTGCGCAGTCTCATCCCACGTCCAAGCCACATCCTAAGGCCTCCGAACAGCCCTCCCGCGCCGCGCAACACATCCCCAACGTCCCAGCCGACCGCCTGTCAGGGCCCAACCGACCAACCCGCGCTTCGGGGCCTGCCCGCCCAGTGGGCCCGTCACCGGCTGCCCGCCCGACCCCGTGCGCGTCCGTCCGCCCGTCCCGCACGCCTGGGCCCCAGTAGCCGACCCGGGTCCATCCGCCCGACCCCGCTCGGGTCCGCTGGTCTGGCCCGCCCGTCAGAGCCAGCCCGCCCCACCAAGACCGCGAGGGCCCGTATGCACGCTCACCCGCCAGCGCGCCCGGCCGCTTTCGTGCCCCATCCGCTCAGGCCCGCCCACCCGACGCATCCGTCAAAGTCTGCCCACCCGACCCACCGTTTCGAGGGCCGGCCCGCCCGACCCGACCCGCCCGTCACGGTCCGCGCACCTGACCCCGTCAGGGTCCGCCCGCCCGACCCGCCCGCCCGACCCGCTGGGCAGGCAAGGGTTTTCCTACTCGTTCCCAATGCGCATGCTGGAAGCCTTCTCCGCAGCTCCTTCGACGCTCCTTGGAGGCTCCTGCGAAGCCTCTTTCCCGAGCTTGCAAGCTCACTCCAGGCATCCTTTCCAGGCCCCTTGCTTAGAAATCAAAAATCCACCTCTATAATAACCGCCCCGACACGCGAAGTCGTTCAGTAAACGCACCCAACGAAGGAATCGAGCAGGGCAGGGCTGTTTAGTAAACGCCCAGGGCCGTTTAGTAAACGCCAATTGTCCTGTCCGGGTGGTTGTTCCTCCCTTGATTGCTAATGCTCGGGCCCGTGCGCCCGACCCGCCCGTTATGATCATCCCGCCTCGCCCGCCCGCGAGGGCCCGCCCGCCCCAACTGGTTCTGCCCGCCCGGCCCGCCCATGAAAGTCTGCCCGCCCGGCCTGCCTGTCAGGGCCCGGCCGCCAGACCTGCCTGCCCAGGGCCCGCCTGGCCGCGCTCGCCGCGGCGCAGGCCTCGCAGGGCGCAAGTCTCCTCGCCTTGGCTTCCCCCCCCACGAGCTGGCACTCCAATAGGCGAAACGAGTGTGTGTGTGTGTGGCTCATATTCTCGGCGGTGGACAAACCTCCCTTTAGTAAACCACGCTTTAATGAAAACGGCCTGGAGCCGAAACCGGCGGACCTGGACCTGCAAAAATAACGGCCACGACGCCCTCTCGCGAACCGAAAACAGCCAATCCACTAATCGACGTGTCAGGGTAGGAGGTCTATCAAACTCCGATATTCCCTCTGCCTCTCGCTCGCCGCGGCACACGTTCCGCGGCGCGAAAGTACTCTCTACCTGGCCGCGTCCATTTCGGAGCGTTGCCAGCTTGCGGCGGTCACACACCTGTGCTATAGCGGGCATGCCGCGCGACACCTCTCGGGTATACCCACGGGGGGAGCCCTCGGGAGCCCGACGGGGCTGATATGTGACCCCGTGTTGGCTCCGGGACCCAACGGGGCTCTGTGACACCGTGTTGGCCACATGACCGCCGCTCCAGCCCAGAGCCCTTGCGACGCGAACGAACTGCACTGCGGCACCTGTTTCTCTTCCCGCCAGCCCTGCTTTTCGACGTGCCACGACTGTGCTGTACCTGCTTTGCTCGCCTACAATCCTGGTCAAGCTCCGGCTGCCTCGCGCTCGCTGCGGCGGGCGTTTCGCAGGGCGCAGGCCTTCTTCATGTATGTGTTTCGCACCAGATTGGCCGCTCAACGAGCCAACCCTTTTATGTTACGGTCATGGATTTTCGGATAGCGTGTCGCGGCGGCGGCCCCGGCGACAGTCTGTGCCCTGCAAGCGGATGGCGTGTCGCTCCGCTCGGCGGGGCGGTAAGCTCGGAATGGCTCGGGACGTTGAAACCTGGGGGTCGCGAAGTGGATGGCGTGTCGCATCGCAGCGTGGTGGGCCAGCGCCAACGCAGCGACACCCTTATCCAAACATTCCCGATCGCGTGTGCTTTTCCCCAAGACTGGCCGCTCAACGAGCCAGCTCCATGCCTTAACCATGCCCTCCCCCCCGCTCCGCGCCCGCCGCGGCGCGCGCTTCGCGAGGCGCAGGACTCCTCTACTCGCGTGTTTCCCGCTGCCAGGCCACCCACCGCGCCAAGTATATAACTTAGCCGCGTCCCCCCTGCCTCGCGCTCACTCCAGCGCGTGCCTCGCGCGGCAAAGATCTTCTCTACCTGTTCCGTTTCCCGCATACATGTCCCTCAAGGAGTGAAGCCAATCTTTGATGCATGTGTCTCTGCCTCGCGCTCGCCGCAATCTGTGATTCGCAGGGCGCAGGAATTCTCCACTTGGTTTTTGTTCCCCAACCTGGCCCTTCAACGAACGAAGTCTATAAACAGGTTCCCTCTGCCTCGTGCTCGCCAGGGAGTGTGCTTCGCAGGGAGCAAGTTTTTTTTTTTTTTTTTTTGTTTTTTTTTTTTTTTTTTTTTTTTTTTTTTTTTTTTTATATATATATATATATATATATATTATTTTTTTCTTTCCCACGACCTGCCAACCTACCAACCAATCGTCAAACCATCGACACTGGCCAACCAACCAGCCGATCAACCAATCACCGAATGGGCAGCCCATCCAACATGCCAACCAACCAGATGGCTGTCCAACAAACCAACCAACCAACCGCAATCTTCTGTCTTGATCTTGAACCTCTGGAGGCAATAAAAAATTACGGAGATCTGTCAACTCACAGCCGACTCGATCAGCTTAAGCCCCTGCGCAGGCACTAGCCTATTATAACAACCCCTGCAGACGGTGTCAGGGCCCCGGCAGCTGGAGGGGAGGGCCCCCCCCGGGGCCCTAAGGCAACCCCGAAAGAGGGGAAGGCCCCTCGGGGCGCCTCTTCGGGCACCACCCCATGACAAAACTGGATCTTACCTCGAAGCTCTGCTTTGAAAGCCGCGGCCGCGGGCTCTCCCTCCATCCCGCCCCCCGCCCCCGCGCCCACGACGACCCCCGCGACCCCTCCCCCTTCCCTCGTCAGCTGGCGGCTGGATCCTAACCATACCGCCTCCGCTGAGATGTCGACTGCGCCTCTCGCTCAGGCGCCACCCCTCAGCAACAGACAAGAAAGCAGGGGGCCTGGCCGAGGGAGCACTGGAAGATGCCGCACTCACCGACTCAGTAGCATGCAAAACCTGGGGAGCCGAAGTCGGTATTCTCGCCATAACAGACACACCACCAATCATCGTCCCAGTCGAAAGCCCTGTCCTCTGCGCTTGTTGAGAATCGCTGAGATCTCCCTGTCCTCGCGGACCCTCGGGGCAGAGCCGATCACCTCCTCCGCCTTCCACTCCACTAAGATTTGCTCCACCTTGCCCGCCTCGAGGTGCTCCTCGAACCTCATGGCGAACTTTGCCTTGCCCTCCATGCGCTTGGACTTCTGCTCCTTCGACTGGCTGATCTGGAGGTGCTTCGCAGACCTCGCCAGCTGCACCTGCGTCTTGCCCTCCACGTGCGCCGCAATGAAGTCCGTTGGAACCTGCGCTGCTGGACCCACCGCCTTCCGTTTCGCCGCGTGAATCACCGCGTAGTGCACCGTGAGAAACGGTGGGCCCAGAGCGTTGTAGCCCACCGTCTCGCCGTTCTCTCTGCCTCCTTCAGAGCCTCGACCCTGGCGTTGTACTCTTTGTTGCTCTGCAGCCCCGCCTTCACGAGCCACGCCTCTTCGTTCGCGAGAAAGTGCCTGTGCAGGCTGCCCTTGATCAGCGCCGTGTCGCGAGCCGTCGCGAGCGAGAGTCGCGCCGTCAGCGGCGCGAGAGCGTCGGCGTCGCTCTTGGCCTTCGTCCTTCCCTTCTTGTGCAGGGGCTCGGCCTCTACGGCAGCTCCCTCTGGTCGACGTGTAAGCTGTGCGCTGTCTGACCACTGGGGCAACTGGAGCTGCAAGTCGTCGTCTCCGGACATGTCTGGCAGCACGCGCAGCCGGCACAAATGGAAGATGAGCGCGAACGTGCGCGTGATGTTCCTCCAAGCTACCGAAGTTAGAGCCACGAGCTTTACAGTCGAATACTGTGGGGGCCTGTACCTCAAAGATGGTCGACGCCTGTCCTCTATGGCAATGCCCAATTTTCAGAGCTCTCGTCAGATGTCGGCGGGCCTCATTTCTGTTGAAGAACACCTCCCCGCAGGCCGCGCGCTGATTAGTAATAGTTGCAGCCTGCGCCACCGTCACATGCCTATGTACGATCCTTAGATGCGTAATAAACCCAGACCTGGAACTAAACGTGGCCCCGCACGGTCCCCCAGCAATCTTGCGTGGACAGCAATGCATGCGTTCCGTGGGCAACGCCCCTCCTCCTCCTTGACCTGGCGCGCCGCGCTGAATCCACGGGGAGGGGCCTCCACGCCTAGAGCCTGAGATCTCAATGCACTGACGTCGATGCGCGCAAATACCTTAGCACACGTAGGAATTAGTAGACCTGGAATAGATGATCCTGCATCTTCCCATGCGTCCCTTGCCTCATCAGATTGTTCGCATAGTAACAATATGTCCTCCTCCGCTCTCCTGGCCCAATGGTTCGCGCCCTCCTTCGCCCTCCCGCTTCTGTCAAGGACGATCGAAGGCCCCCCCCATCGAAACGAGGACCCCCCCGAGCTCGCCCCTCGCGAAGTCGTGCTCGAAATCGAACACCCCGAACCAAGCCGCAAGCACCTGGCGATGGGGCTGCGGGCGAGAGAACAAAGCCTGGAGCCGACGAAGCCGGCGAACTCGCATTTCAACGACGACCTCAGGAACTTGCCAATGTAGAAGCACCTGTTTCGTAGTGAGCGACCTAACACGACCTCCTTCCTCCTCCCAGTGCGCTCTACCCCCCATGGCCCGTCGACCCGAGGCAGCAATCGCTCTTTCCAACTTCATGCGCTGTCCAACCGACGGCACGAAGTATTCCACTCCACACAGTGCTGTATTTACAACTCGGCACAGAAACAAACAGCGGCGACATCTCATAGGGATGCCTGATTTGCACCAAAAAGAGCTTAATGAGTAGAAGGACCTCTTCATCTCCTCGATTCTGTTAGATAGCTCAGCCGCGAAATTCTGACGAGCATCAATCAGAGGCCCCAGATAACGAACGTGTTCTTTCACCTTCGTGCCCATCTTGCCAATTGTGTTAGCAACATCTCGCTTGTGCGACCTTGGCACCGCAATGGTACTCTCCTGCTTGTCAGCGTTTCGGCGCAGCCCTTCTGGCCCCAGAGCCTCATCAAGAAATAAATCGTTCATAGCCAGTTTAGCCTTCAAATCAACGAGATGTATGCACTTGCCCAGGAATATCTGCTTCAACGCATCATCAGCATACTTAAAGGCGCTAAGATACACCGTATCACTGCGCCGATTCCCCTTCGGCGGAGCAAACCTCGCGAACGGCGTGTCGTCTTCTAGATCGAACTGCCGATGCCGTTCTAGCCATGCATCGACAGGTGGTCGGAATACTCGAACGAACGATGCAACCGAAAAGGGGTCTCCCATCAACGCCCCGCACCCCGTCTTCAGCAACGCCTCCTCCGTGGAACTAGGCAGCGGGCAGCGCGGTAGCGTTGGCGAAGGAGAGGTGCGTCACAATGCCGACTTAGTGTATCTACTGCTTGATCAAGGTACTGCCAAGGCGTGGAAGCAACCGCGTTGGACATATCTTTGAGCGAATCAACCCAATAGAAGCCGCAGTTATTAAGTCTCCAGCTAGCAGCCATACTAGCAGCAATGGCGCCCCCCCTCCTCCTCTTCTTCAGGAACCCGCGGTCCAGCCCGGAGTCAGTGCAGCTAGGCCCCTGAGACATAAGGCTCGAGAAGTAGCCTTTGCCAGGCGGATCTAACCCATGGGCCACTCTCCTACCCTTCGGCCCAGGAATGGCTGACTTGACCAGAGGGTGCCCGGCCGAACAATTCCACGGCCTCGGCGCCCTGCCAGAAAACCTGATCAAAGCCAAACCCGATTTAACCCATCTCTGAACAGCATGCCCCGCAATATCGTCAGTAGCGGCCCCAACCCCAGCAGTGCGAACCTTGGGGGGAGGCGGCTCGGGCCCCCAGACGCATGCCCCAAACTTCAACAGGCAGGGCCCATCCTGGGCCCCCCTCTCGTCTTGGTGCTTTCCGAAGATATCTGACGAGCCCCTCGAACTCCTCCTCCGCCAAGTCCATCGCCTCTTCCTGGAGGCCCAACTCTAGACCAGGAGGTGGGCCCACGCGAGCAAACGAGTCCTGGATGTGCGACGACTCCTCCCACGTAACTGGTTTAGCCTGCATGCCTCCTTGTCCTCCACATGCCCCCCGCGCCTTCATCCACTCGTCGGGCGACGGGGGCGCGCCGTTAAGCCTGCTGAAATCTTGCTTTCCCTTCCCAAACCGTCCGCCCGCCAATCGTAAGCGGAGCCTATGTATACGTGCAATGTCACGTTTCTGCGAAGCCTCGAAGATCTCCTCTGTCAGCGCATCTCCGTTGGACAACTGCTGTTTCCCGCGCAAAGATTTGCACTTGCGGGTGATCTGCCGAAGTTCCAGAAGACATGCCTGCCGTGCCTCCAGTCGAACTCGGGCCGACTCTGATCCCTTATATGTAGCAGTGATGTTGCGTCCAGGGGGTCTACTCCCTGCGGCATCGACACGTGCGTGAGGAGGAAGATGCCCACTCCTGAGGCGCTCGGCGTCTCTGGCTTCATCGACTTGTCGGGCCACCGCGGGATCGCTTTCAGCGCATGCCCCTATCTTCCGACGCAAGTCTTTTCGCTCCCGCAGCAAGCGGAGCCTATCTGCAATATCCGCTTGTTGAGCCTCTGTGCGAGGAGGAGCCGTAACATATTTAGCGCCCACCCCGCGAACCACTCCAACTTCGCAAAAACCGTGTCTGGACACGTCGTCTCGAACGTGGGCTCTATCTCCTCCAGCTTCGCCTCCACTTCTTCAAGAAACTGTTTACGAACTCCTCGGCCCTTGAGCGAGGCCATAAGCATGTTCCTATCCCATCGCACCTTTTCTCGCTGTTGCCCATCTGTACAATCCCTCATGATCAGGTGCCAACGACGTCGAAGCCATGACAGGCATATGATCTGTTGGGCACGCTGTCGGGATCGCCTGCAATTTGCGCCCAAACCCCGACAGAAGGATGCAATACTCAACGCAGCCAAGAGAACGTGCAGGCCAGCCGATATGATCTATCGTAGAAGTCGCCCCCGAATTGCTGAAAAACGTAGGTCGCAAAGGAGACATCGTCAGCAAGGCCACCATACCGTGGCGCTCCAATGACTCACGAAATTTCTGACCAGCACCACCCACAAGCTTTTCAGCAGAAATCCCAACACCCACTGCAGAAGACTCCAGAGACACGAGATCTCCCCCCACCTTGCGAGCGCCTATCCCGTCGTTCAGATCCACCATTAGGAAGGACAAGCACCTGGACGGGAGGGAAGCAAGACGTTTGGACGGCCATGTCGTCAGCTTCTACTGTGGCACCATGGAGTTATGGCTCGGTCTCGGTGGAAAGTATAGTACCAGAGGGTACATGAGGAACCCGTCATAACATATCTCAGCGCCCAGCCCTCGACCTTGCAAAGGGCGCGCAGGCGTGTCGATGCGTCTGACCGGCTTCTGAGGCCACCTCCGAGGAAGTACAATCGTACAGCCAGCGTGTGAGTTAGTAAGTGCCCCATGTGCCCACCCAGCATGAATAACAAATCGGTCTGCAACCCTCTGCACACGACACGGCTCTTGACCAAAAGCCCGAACTCTCGTGCCCTGCAGCCCGACGACCGACATGTTAGCTAGCTCAGTGATCACTTCTAGCTGGCGTATCCCCGCCAGGTGCGGCGGGTTGAAGGACATCACCTGCAGCCGCTTCAGCCATGGGTGGTCTGCGGGCCCGACGCGCGAGCAAGGGGGGTTACGATAAGCCGCACATCATATAAGGAAGTGGCGGGCCGCGCGTCGCTCGAGCTCATACGGCGGCTACCAACCGCAATCGACCAATCAACCCACCGACCAGCCAACCAACCAATCACACATGTGGCCAACTGGGCCGCTAAAATCACCTCTGGGGTTTACAACTCGTCTTTAAGCAATCAAGCACTGACTTCAAACATACGACTCATAAATCAGCATGAGCATCTTGCTCCCTTCCTCCTGCACACACCACGGATAATCGTCCCAGAGCCGCGTCTTACCTACCAGCTCCTCCTCCTTCCTCCTGCTGGAGGAGGGGACTAAAAAAAACAGTGGAGGATGAAGGAGGAAACAGGAGGAGGAGAAGGAGGAGGAGGATGCATCACGAGGATGGGGGGGGAGGGGTAGGGTGCGGATGAGGCGGCGGTGGGAACTGGATGAGGATGAGGATAAGGAGGAGGATGAGGAAGAGTGGCAGGGTGCGGATGAGGAGGCAAGCGGGAGGAGCATTGGGGCAAGAGGGCGACGACGCAGGGGGAGCAGGAGGATGAGGAGGAGGAGGACGGCGAGGGGAACCAAAAGGTACCGATCCTGCTGCGTACTCCCAGGACTTCTCAGGGGTGCGTTCTGACCAGAATATTGAGGCGAACCCAGCCGTGGTGACGAAGGCCTCGCAGGAAGCCCAAACAGGCGTAAACGAGGTAAGGGCAGTGGCATCGGGACCCTCTGCGGGAAGACAAAACTGCACAAGCATAAACCTTTGGAGCTCCGCGCGGGTTTCTTGGATCGACGCTGGACCCCCCCCCCTCCTCCCACTCCTCCTCATCCTCCTCCTCCTCCTCCTCCTCCTCCTCCTCGTTCTCCTCCTCCTCCTCCTCCTCCTCCTCCTCCTCCTCCTCCTCCTCCTCCTCCTCCCCCAGCGCGCGGGGCGGGCCAGGGTTGCCGCCGGAAGCGCCGCCGGGGGCGCCCAGGGCCGACGCAAGAAATCCCCGCGGAGCTCCGACAGTTTAGGTCTCTGCAGTCTTTGGCCCCTCGAGTATCGGGCGCCTCTCCTCCTCTGAACGACGACGACGAGGACGACGACAACGACGACCACGACGACGGCGACGACGACGGCGGCGACGACAGCGACGATGCCGACGCCGACGACGGCGAAGCCGACGCCGACGACGACGCCGACGACGGCGGCGACGCCAGCGACGACAGAGACGGCGACGACGAAGACGACGACATAGACGACGACGACGACGCCGACGACGACGACGCCGACGACGGCGGCGACGCCGACGATCGCGGCGACGGCGGCGGCGGCGGCGGCGGCGAGGAGCGGCGGCCGCCTCGCCGCGCTCCTCGGCCGCCGCGCTGCGCGGCGCCGCCCGCGGCGCCCCGGGCATCGCTCGCGCGGCTCGGCCGCGGCCGCGCGCGCCGGCCTCTGGACGCCCCTCGCGGTCCAGAGGCCGGCAACGGCGCGGGCGGCGCGCGCAGGGGGGCGGCTGAAGGCGCAGGTGTTGCTCACTGGTTTAGGCCGGTGCTCAAGCCCTGACAGGAGGGCGCACACACGTGCGGGTTGGTGAGTGCACCTGAGATAGAGAGATTCAGTGCACGGGGCGAGGAAACATTGCAGCACTATCGCATGGTTGCTTCTTTTGTATCGTCTCTTCTACTCTTCCACATGAGAGGGGGGCGGCGGGGCAGGCGGCGGGGAGCGCGAGAGCCGTGCCCCTGCTCGCGCCCTGGAGCCCCCAGGGTTCGAGCAGGGGGTCGACTGCAGAGCTGGTGCACCCCACCCCAGTCTTGGTGTCTTCGTCGAAGCCACGGCATCTGCGCAGAGAACTACCCATACGTCCACGAACACCATGCGTGCTTCCTGTGTGTAGAGTCGACGAGGAAGTCGGTCTTGGGGTAAATCGACTACAGAGTTGATTTACCCCAGAGAGCGAAGATCAAAAGCGGGTCTTAGGCGAGACCGCACGGAGACCTTACGCGGTGGCTCACGCGGGCCACCAGCGCGGCGCGCCACATTGAAGACGAGGGCGCTTACGCGCGAGCTTACGCGGGCAGCTTACGCGCCAATGTCGGCGCAGACGACCCCGTTTTTTATGCGTCGCTCGTGCTTTCCTCGTCGAAGCCAGGACATATGCGTGAACGACCCATACGTCCACGAACATTATGCGTGTTTTCTGTGTGTAGATTCGGCGAAGAAACCGATCTTGGGGTAAATCAACTCTGTGGTCGATCCCCTGCTCGAGTCGTGGAGGCTTGAGCGGAGTACGAACGAGCGCCTGGTCTCTGTGGCCCCGTTTTCTTCCAACCACGCCCTGCATATTACCCTGGCGCCCACGAGCGGGGGCCAAGATGCCAAACTCCAAGGAAGAGATAATACCCAAACCGCTACAGCAGAAGCTCGACCACAAGAAACCTTTCACAAACAACCCAACCCTGAGATCCCAGGACGTCCGTTGATTTTTGGTGTGGGAACGTCGCGCTCTCCATAGCAGAGCCACCAAACACAAGAAACCTAGGGCACCCCTGAGGCAAGCAAGGTGTTTCTTGGCATGGGTCTCCACTGTACCCTTCCCGGCTCGTCGCCTCGGCTGGGTTCTCCACGAAGTCCCCGAGCCGTGGTCCCATGCATCGAGGGACAAACAACGGCATTAATATAAAATTTCGGAGGTCCAGTGGCCAGCACGACGCCAGCGGCGCGCAGAGGTGACGAAACAAGTCCTCGGAGGTCGTCGTGAGAATGATGAAAGGCTGTTGAGCCCGATTGAGGGGCCATTGAGCGCGATTAAGCCTAGGATTGAGGTGGATTAAACGGGACGAAGCCAACTTGAGTCGGATTGAGCGGGCGTCAGCTGGATTAAGCCAGTTTTCGGCCAGGGGTATACCAGCGCGCGCAGGGGTGAGGGGCCGCATTTAGACGAGCCAACAATGACATTTCCATAGCAAACTGTCGGAACTCCGCGTGGATCCTTGGGATCCGCGCTGGGCCCCCCTCCCTGGCGCGCCTCCGGCGCCAGAGGCGGCGCAGGCGCCGCCAGGGGGCTCCAGCGCCGACTCGAGAAGTCCGCGCGAACCTCCGAATGGGGCCTGCAACGTCCATTGCCGAAGGGGAGGCGCAGGTCACCCATCGGTGCTCGCGCCATGCCTGGACAATGAGCTCGAACCCTGCGGCGCAAGATGCCGCCCCCGGACCCCCAAAGATCACGCTGAGGGTGCGGCGATGGAGAGAGGGGGGGCATGGGTGGACAGAAATCCTCGAACCCCCGAACCACCTCCCATTCCAAAATCCACACTGATTGCGGGGGCGGGGGGGGGGGCGATGGAACATCCACTGCATGCAATGTCCATGCGCTGTCGCGCCTGTCTGAAGGGGCCCTGGGACACACAAGTAAATAGACACACATAAAAGGATTCCTTCTATTTTCAAATGCTTTCCGGGTTTTCGTCCTCCCCCCATTTCCAATATTTTCCCATCTTTTCTGGGGAATCGACGATTAATTGTGTCTGTGTGTTTTCTCTCCTCTTGACTGTCGCGCCGAGCCCGGACCGAAAGGGCCCTTGTCTGGCCGCGGCGAACCCAGGGCACGGCTGCGTCCCCCTCCCCTCGCCCTGGCTCGGAGAAGCGGCGCGAAGAGCCGAGACCTCCCCAGCCCCCGCCCGATCCCAGAGAGGACCTCAAACACAATTCTACAAAAGGCCCTGGCACACACATATCCTTCTTCTTTATACTTATTTACCCCCACCTACCTCGTATTCCGGCCGATAGCGACCCAATCCGGGACCTCCCATCTGGATTGTTAGAATCAATACAAAGTGGCCGTTTTTCTTCTCAACATCGTCTTTTTTGTCGTCGACGATGCGAAAAGCGTGGCAGGAATAGGACGCGGCGCA